TGCAAATTTTATTCAAACCAGAAGTTCGTAGTATTCAAATTTTTCTGGTTGAAGTATTCAATCCAGAAAATGAATCGAACTCAAAACGGTTTGTTTGTTAATATGCCTATAAGTTGACTTCGTAATACGACTGCTAAAACAAAATTAAATAAAGGGCATTTATCATTAAAAAAAATAGAGTTTCACGAAGCTTTTGCACTATTAATTCAGAATCTCATTTTGTAATTCGTGACGAAATCAATATGAATTTGTAGAAAATGGGTTCAGGCCAGGGGTGGATTAAGCGTACGCGGGGCCCTAGGCCATTCACATTTTTGGGGCCCTTAGATGAAATTTTTTTCACGTATATTTTTTATTTATTCAAATATAAAAGTATTTATGTATCTTTTCATTTAGGAAAGCATACTTAAAATTAAAATAAATAATACCCTGGACCTCTTAAACAGTGACAATGTCAATATATAAAATTTGATTGAAAGTGACCAGCTGTATGAGTTTTTTCTAGAGTATATAAAACAATAAAACAAAAACACTTACCTTTTAGTAAAATATTTTGCAATTATTTATTGATCAAATAGAATTACGGACACTAAATAATTATAAAACATTAAAAAAATTATGAGACACTTCAGTTGAGGTACTAAATAACTTCTTATTCATTTAAAGCAGGGGTGTCAAACTGAAAAGCTAACTAGGGCCAAATAAGCAATGCTTAACTTTAGGTGGGCCGCAAAAAAAAAAAAAAAATCAGTGTTCATAGAAACAAATATTTTTTTTTTGAATAGTATATTGTAATAAACATATATAAAGTAAAATTATTGTTTGATATTTGACATCTCTTCTCTGCTACTATCTTTCCTATTTCAGGAGAAATTTTATTTGCCGAGCCTACTTTCAAAGTTGACCCAACGTGAATCACAATCACTTCCATTTACATATTACTGGGTATTGAGTCTATATTTATTGAGAAAATCGAAGAAAACAAACAAAATTTGTCTTCCAAAGAAATAAAATTTTTAAACCTTGTTTTTCAAATTCTGTTCTAAGATTTGAAATTTTTTCTGCGTATTTTTGATACGATGCAGTATCCTTGGAACGGCAAGTGCCGCAAGAAAATTAGAATTTTACATTTTCGCGCGTATAATTAAAATGCCGTATAGTTTATAAATAAAGTATATTATAATTTAATATGCTAGTTTCCTTTCTAATTAACATTTCTATTTTATTTTTACTTTGCGTCGGATATATTGACTGGGCCGCAAAAATGTTCATCTCGGGCCGCATGCGGCCTGCGAGTTTGACACCCCTGATTTAAAGCGTCTCAATAATGTCAATAATATTTAATTCTTTGCTTCTTGTTTAAACAAGTATCAGCTCGCTATAGTACTACTTTCAATTTTTTTGCGCGCAAATCAAAAGGACAAATTTGAACTTAGAAAACATTGATAAATATTATAATACATAAACTATAATAATACTTATAAATAATAACTAAAATAAGTAATAAATAAATATGTAAAAAAATTATAATATTTTATTAATATATATTTGAAATTGATTTTTTTTAAATCATTGTTTTTCCTAATTTTTTAAAATTTATTTTCCTAATCATTGGGGGCCCCAGGTCATGGCCCAATAGGTAATCCGGCACTGGTTCAGGCTGCAAACGTAGTTTAATACGATTAATATGGATCCGAAGACTCCGAAATATCCCAGGAACTCTTTTTGTTTTGCAGCACACACAATTTAAAGCCCCGTTTGATTTGCTATTTATCTTACCTTAACCCTTTGTAATGCCGTTGGAAGCTATTTTCCAACCCATGATTTGGATGGCAATAAGAAGATAACTCTTCAAAACACTAAAAAATACCAAGGAAGGGCTTTGTTTTAAAAAAAATGTGGATAACAGTAAAAGCATGGGGTTAAGAAGAGAGGCCAACATCGGGCAGCCATTTTTTCCCCTAGCAATGTGCGTTAGTTTATTTGATGACTTCTCACCAAGTTTAGTCAAGAAAACAGAATTTATAAATTTGGTTATTTAAAAGCACAGAAGTTCTGTTTTTAGGGAATGAGTTGAGTTTCTTTTTATAAACCAATCTCAATCCCCAAAATATTTAAACATAACATTGCTAGAAAAAAAGGTCGTATAAAGTGCTAAAAATAGTTACGTTTTGCCTTCGTATGAGCCACAATGACACCAGTGTTGCAGTGGCAAAAATCAGTTGGTGCGTTGCAGAACAAAGTAAAAAATTTTTTGACCCAATTACAGCTCTGCAATAAGGCTATAAAACTTTGTAGATATGGTTACAGGTGGTGATGTTTTCTTGTTTATTTGAAGTTCAGTTGAGATACTTTAATGAGATTTAGAATGAAATGCACAAAGATGTGTATGATTATTATACAGTATACACTCGCTAATACGAACCTTCTGTTATAATGGCCTATGCATAGATCTGTTATTTTCATGTCCATTCGATCGGTCACATTAAACCGTTAATTCCAATACAGCGACAGGCATTTAGTCATTCAATTTAGAAAAAGTTAAAAAGAAATTATTGAAACCACTACTACTGTTACAACAAAATACATAGAAAAGAACACAGACATGATCCCTAAATTCTTATGTGGTTACAATTTAAGGTTATTTATAATCTGTATAGCGTTATTTTCAAAGATTATACGTTACTTTTCAGTCATACTTTTTTAGTTCGCAAATTGCATTCACTCATTTCGTCAAAAGTCAGTACCCTTTTGTGGTTTGTTTTAGTTAAAACGTGGTCTTCATATTTAAGAAAAATTTCTGCTCTAAACCAGCACAATATTTTAAATGCACTTTTCACTTAAAAAGTATTATTTAAAAGTGTGTTTTTATGTATAAGATAGAAAAAAAAAGTTATATATTTACCAATTTTTGCGTTAATTACCCAATTCTTATTCATGTAAAGCACTGATTTGTGGTTTGTTTTAGAGTTAAAATGTGGTCCTCACAGTTATCTTGACATATGTTACTTAACAGAAATGGCAGCTCTAAACCAGCAAATTTTTTTAAATGCTATTTTCATATAAAAGGTATTATTTTAAAGTGTGTTTTTATGCATATATGTTAATATAGTAAAAAAAGTTGTGTTGTTACCAATTTTTCTATTAATTACCGAATTCTTATTGATGAAAAGCACTGATTTATGGTTTGTTTTAGAGTTAAAATGTGGTCTTCACAGTTTTCTTGACGTATGTTACTTAACAGAAATGGCAGCTTTAAAGCAGCAAACTATTTTAAATGTAATTTTCACCTAATAAGTATTATTTTAAAGTGTGTTTTTACGCATATATGCTAATATAGAAAAAAAAAGTTGTTTTGTTACCAATTTTTCTGTTAGTTACCAAATTCTTATTGATGTAAATCACTGATTTGTAAAGTATTTTTTTTTTTTTTTTTTTTTTTTTTTTTTTTTTTTTTTTTTTTTTTTTTTTTTTTTTTTTTTTTTTTT